AATTAATGACATATCTTGTTGTATAAAATCTACAAACATATAAGTCTAAAATTTGTCCCATAAGAGACGTGGATTATTAGGATTACACAATGTCAATATGGTAGCGAATTACCTGCGCAATCAAAGGGGCAATTGATAAAGAATTGCTTCTATAAACATAACTCACAATTATCATCTTCACTTAATAAACCATGCAAAAGATATGCTTCTCAAAATGTGGATGACAGTATACCATCCACTATTCTTAAATTTTCAAAGGAAGTTGGTCCTTTGATGTGATTTAGCAAAAGACGTAAGTAATATCTTTCACCTTTAGCTGGTAGTGCTGTAACTATTCTACCAATTATTATTTTTTTCCAGCAGTCCACAGTCGTTCATTCGCATCCCACGCAAAATTAGAAAGAAAATCTCAATGCAAAAGAGTTCTAGTTTTTTCATTTGTAATATTCATGTGAAAGAATTCAGTTAGCATGGTTCTTCGTGTGTGATCTCTACCAATAATTGATTGTAAATTATCAAAGTCTCTATATGTAATTTTTTTATGGTCTTTGAGATGCAAATGTAGTGAAATAACTGATGAAAACATCTCAGACAATACAAATCCATAAATTCTCCACATTGCTTCAGGTGGAGAGATCCACGTAGCATTTTGATATGTTGAAATCTTATCAATATCAACATCTTTGTTATTGCCAATTGCAGAAAATCTAATTTGATCAGATCCTTTGTAAACATATTTATATAAATATTTGACAACTTTAACAGTTGAACATATTTCTATGTTAACATAACAATCATATTTGGCTGTTAAGTAAGGGTCATAAGGTACAACCCACCTATTATCTAGTAAATGTCCCCTAACTTTAACCTTGTGACCATCACTACGATGTCTATATTGTGGGTATGAATCATTGTCTAGTGAAGTTGCTTTTGCAGATTCTTTGGGGTATTTATTTTACATTTTTGGTTACTCTTCATTCAAACATTATTTGGATTTAATGTTCCACAAGGACCATGCATCATGTGTCTTACAATAATACGATATAAATGTGGATAATCATTTTTGTTTGGAATTTCACAACAAACAATTTTATCAACTAAAAGGACATATGTAACTTTAGATCCGAACTTAAAAATTAACAAAAAATGAGCATGTGGAAGACCTCTCTTTTGGAATTCGACCACATATATGTATGCAGCTATAGGTCCTAGAAGATGTCTTCAAAACAAATCATTTTTTAGTTCTTCTAATTTAGCTCTAAATATTCTTACAACTAAATCAAGTCTATTTTGTTTTTCATCATTATATCTTAGTTCTTCATTTATTTTAGGCCATTTAGGATTGCAAGTTATTGTCAAGAATACATTTGGCTTACCACATCTCTGAACAAGTGTTATTGCATCCATATATCTTTTTTTATTGTCTCTAGGTCCTCTGGTAAATGACGATGGTAAAATAATCATTTGACCAATTTATGACTTCTAGTTTCAGCTATTTCAATACTATCAACAATTTCTTGATATACCTTTGCTCGTATTTGTTTTTGATTATTTTGAAAATAATCCAATCTAGCATTTTCGATTTTCACATACATATCAACAACATATTGTTGTAAAAGTCTACCAGTATGAAGCAAGATGCAATTAGCTGAGTCTCGTACCTGTAATTTATAGCAGTAATACTCTCGACAAAACACTTGTGACATTTTCTTTCCCTTCAGAGCTACAAGACAAAAAGATGAAACAATAATCAAACTATATTCCAGAACAAAACTAAATTGAAAAAGAAAATCAATGTTAGTAACCTTGAGTTTATCTTTCAATCAATTCACTTGCAAAATGTACATTGTTCATGTTTAGAAGGTTCTTTTGCGTAGAAGAATATCCTGACATCTCTTTATTATTAAATCTAGCAATACCACCAAGCCATCCAGATTCATCGTAAGGAAAAAACAACGGGTACTGAAGAGGGTTATAACAACCAAAATAATAGTGTACTTTGTGTGAAGTGCCAGAATGTCCATAAATCGTTATATCACGAACTCTATTATTTGTAGATGGATCTTCATCGATCCAAACAGCAGCTACTTGTGAAGCAATTGGTCTGTTATAAACTCTCTGGACTGTACCAAGATCATATCGTATTTGTATTTGACATATATGCAAATTGCCAAAACTACTTAAAGAGCGAAAGAACCTAGAATAAGAATTAATTTTTAAGATATCAATCAATATTTGTAAGGTTGATTCAAAAATCTTGTCCAAAATATTTAATCAATTATGTAATTCATTATCAGTATAATAAAAATATAACTGTAAATAGGTTGGATTATCATTAGGTGGCAAAAGTGAATTTATGTAATGGTAAACTTGTCCTTGAACTCTAAATGTGTAAATTCCTTTATTCATCTTGCATAAATCTTTATCATAATTGACACCAAATGATATGAAAGCAAAACGATTTTTATAACTTCCGGCAAATTTTTTGAACTTTAATGATTCGAGTAAATTTGATGTAAATAATTGATACAATTGATTGGTGATAAGTGTATTTTATACACTTATTTCATACTTAAAATAATGATATTTAAGGGTTCTTTCGACAAAATTATATCCTAAATTCTTGTATTCTACGTTTGATAGGTAAATTTTATAAACAAAAAGAAATTGAAGGAAAGAGGCAAAAATGAGCAAAAAGTGGCAAAATTCAAGTGCAAGGACTACATTGCATTAACTTAAAAGATTGGATGGCTTGAAGGGCAATATAAATTAATTGCTTTGAATTGGATTCCTTTAGAGTCAAATATTGCTGCTAGGTTTGGGGGAGAGAATATATATACACACTTTCACGCCAAAAGAAAAGAAAGAAAAGAAGGGGGCAGCCAATTTTCTCATATACACACAGACGAGAGCCGATTGGGGGGAATAATTTGACTCCACCTTGGAGTCAATCGTGGCGGCTCCAGTAGCACAGAAAACGAGAGAGGAGAATTGGAGGGGCGACTTGCTGCTGAAATTAATCTGTGGCGGAAAGAGGTTGGCGGGTGAGAGACCATTAAATTGCATCTACCTGGGATTGAGAAAAAGACAAGAATTAAGGCAGCTGTTAGGAGGAAAATTGAATCAAGTTTTGGCTGCCTTACATTCACAGAAATTGAGGCAGTTTGGTTCCTTTGAAAGTCAAGAATTAAGGGCTGTAAGTTGCTGAAATTTTTCATATATACTTACGGAAATCGGAGCTACTTTGGAGAAAAGAGAACACGTTGCCGGCTGCCATAAATATATTATATAACAATCACACGTGAAAGCTGGGAAGAAAGGAATTGGTAGCTGGTTTTGATATATTAACATGCATAATGGTGGCAGATTGGAAAAAATATTGAGGAGACGGACACGAACACGGCAACACGCAGGAAAGAAAGACGTCAGAAAGGATTTTTGCAAACTATTCATATTCTGTCAATCAAACCGGGTGATGTCTTCCATTAATTTATCTTGTTTCTCTTCCATTATTATGCGTAGTTAAGTTTAATTTAGGGCGAACAATGTAACTTAATTGGATACCTTTATTTCGTTGAATTAAGATTCTAGTACTTTAATTTTTTTTATGTGTTGATTTTAATGTCGTGCTTAATGCTTTTAATTACTTGATAACTAATTAGATGATTTGTGAACAATGATTGCGTAGATATACGGATTATTTGTTTAGACTACATGTTAAAATTCGGTAAATTGATGTAACGTGTAGAGATACCTATATTGATTGCTGCGGTCGTGTGTGAATTCTTAGAGTCAATGTTGCGTTTAATTAAATTTAATTTGCAGAGAGATATGAAATTGAACTAATTAAATAGGCTCAACGAGAACTCGAGAGGGGTAAGTTGAATACCATATAAGAATTTGACTGAACACTACTATAGGTTCTATGAATCTTGATTTACGAAGTAAAGGTGACCATTAGGTGAAATTGTTCCGCCCTAACATCCTTTATTATTTGAATTCTCAATCATTTTCTGTTGCCTCCATTCGCATTTTTTTTTAGTATTTAGATTTAAAAATCACATTCAATTTCTGTTTATTTATTTATTTTCATTAAATAGAAGTTAGGAATAATAAATTAAGTACTAAAATATAGTCCTCGTGGGAACGATAATCCGGACTCAAAAGGTCCACTTTACTACTTGTTACGATCCGTCCACTTGCGGGATAAAATCGACAACAAGTTTTTGGCGCCGTTGCCAGGGACTATTACTTTTAGTCTTAATCTATTTTTTCTATTTTAAATTTTAATTTTTTATATTTATTTATTTTCTTTTATTTACAAAAAAAAAAAAAGAAACAAAAAAGAGTGTTATGCTCCGTGCCCAAGGCGACGATCTTGAACCGTTTGATTCAGAAATAGAACGTACCTTCAGACGAAGATGTAGGGAACACAAACAAAAACAGCAGCATCAAATGGCTGACAATTTAAATAACCCTATCCCTATACAGCCAATTGGACAAATGGCCGCGAGAAATCAACAACAAGAGCAAAGAGAAGTAAATGAAGGGGACTTGCCAGTGTCTATGTTTTTTACGCCTATAGCAGCACCCGCGCAGTCCAGCATAGTATATCCAGAATTTGGGGTAAACAACTTTCAGATACGGGCTGATTGGATTAATTTGATGAGCAACACTCTGCAATTCTACGAGTTCCTCATGAGAATCCAAACACGCATATCTCAAGGTTTCTCCGAAATTGTCGAAATTGTCATGCTCCCAGGGTTAATGAGGATGCCATCAAGCTGCGATTATTCCCATATACACTAAGAGATGCAGCATTGGAATGGCTGGATGCCAAACCGGATAGAAGCATTACCACATGGGAGGAACTGACCAGGAAATTCTGCAATAAGTTCTTTCCACCAGCTAAGGTAGCAAGAATTAGACTGGAAATTCAAACTTTTCAATAGAGAGATGGGGAGAGCTATCATGAAGCATGGAACAGATTTAAGGAGTTGATGAGGAAGTGTCCAAATCATGGGATCACTATTGGAAATCAAGTACAGTATTTCTACACGGGACTTTCATCATTATCCAAATCTCAAGTGGATTCCTCTGCAGGCGGATCGATCATAGGGAAATCAGTGCAACATTGTATGGATCTCTTTGAGTTGATTGCTACTACTCATTCCATGTTTTCATCAGAAAGAGTGGTGCCTCCAAAAACAGCGGGAATATACGAAGTAGACAGCTCAGCGTTGACCAACGCCCAAATAGCAGCATTGACAAAACAAGTGGAGTTATTGGTGAAGTCACAAACAAAAGGAGCACATGCAGTGATAGCCGGTCCATCATGTGAGAACTGCGGAGCTAATCATCTAATAGAAAATTGCACATTTTTAGGCTTTCCAGAGGAACAAATCAACTTCATTCAAAATGGCTCTCGAAATTTTAATCCCTTTTCACAGACATTTAACCCAGGATGGAGACAACACCCAAACTTCAGATGGTCGGATAATCAGCAAGGGAGCAGTTCAAACAATAACCAGCCAGAGAAAAGACCAAATTTGGGGGAGATGTTCAACCAGTACATGCAGAAGACAGATAAGGTATTCCAACAGATTGACACTAACTTTCAGAATCAGCAAGCATCTATTAAGAAGCTGGAAACTCAAATTGGTCAGATAGCTCAACAGCTTGTAGAACGCCCACAAGGGACTTTGCCAGGCAACACAATGGTCAATCCAAAAGAGCAAGTGCAAGCTATTACAACTAGATGTGGAGTGCAACTTCCAGAGATACATGTGAAGAGACCAGATAGAAAAGGCAGAGAAATAATGGATGAAGAGGTTGGGACAAAAGCAGAGTCTGAACAACCAACTAACGAGGAGGATAAAAGGAAAGAAACATCCACGGTGAGAGCACCCACCCCCGTGAAAGCTTATGTGCCACCAATTCCCTTCCCTCAAAGGTTACAGAGAAAGAAGTTGGACAAATAATTTGCAAAGTTTGTGGAGATTTTCAAGAAACTGCACATCAATATTCCGTTCGCAGATGCAATGGCCCAAATGCCCAGTTATGCAAAATTCTTAAAGGAGATTCTGTCTAACAAAAGGAAGTTGGAAGAACATGAGACTATCTGTCTAAACGAGGAGTGCAGTGCAATTATATTGAAAAAGCTACCTCCTAAACTAAATGACCCAGGAGTTTTACGATACCTTGCACAATTGGTTCTAACTATTTTGAGCATTCGTTATGTGATTTAGGTGCCAGTGTTAATTTGATGCCTCTCTCTGTTTACAAGTCTCTTGGATTAGGAGAAGCAAAACCTACAACCATCTCTTTGCAATTGGCCGACAGATCGATCAAACGACTAAAGGGGATTATTGAAGATGTGCTAGTCAAAGTTGATAAATTTATTTTTCCTGCTGATTTCATCATTTTGGACATGGATGAAGATTCAAACATCCCTCTAATCTTAGGAAGACCCTTCTTGGCTACCGGAAGAGCGCTGATTGATTTTTATGATGGAAAGATGATTTTTCGGGTGGACAATGAGCAAGTCATATTCAACATGTTTAAGGCGATGAAACATCCACTGACTTCAGACACCTGTTGCCAAGTAGACATTCTTGAAAAGTTGGTGGCAGATACATTTGAGACAGAGCATCAAACAGTTCTTTGTGAAGCAGAAATTACACAATCTGGAGCAGCAAGTGTAGAAAAAACTGAATTTATTGTCAATTTAGCGAAGCAACCAATAGGAAGAAGACATTGGCAGTATGAATCTCTTGGTGACAATCCTTCACCCCTAGTACCTTCAGTAGAAAAGGCACCCACTCTTGAACTAAAGCCCTTACCTTCACATCTCTGTTATGCATATTTGGGAGAATCTACAACACTTCCAGTAATCATTGCAAATGACATGACAATGGAAGAGGAGAATAAATTGTTGGAGGTACTCAAGCAGCACAAAACGGCAATTGGATGGATAATAGCTGACATCAGAGGAATAAGTCCAACTCTTTGTATGCACAAGATTTTAATGGAGGACGGGTTAAAGCCATCAGTGGAAGGACAACGCAGATTAAATCCAACCTTGAAAGAAGTAGTGCGAAAATAAGTGCTGAAATTGTTGGATGTAGGTATTATCTATCCAATCTCTGATAGTTCATGGGTGAGTCCAGTGCATGTTGTGCCAAAAAAGGGTGGAATCACAGTGGAGACGAACGACAACAACGAGCTGATACCAACACGATTAGTAATAGGATGGAGAGTATGTACAGATTACAGAAAGCTAAATAATGCAACCAGAAAAGATCACTTTCCATTGCCATTCATTGATCAAATGTTGGAGAGGTTGGCCGATCATTCTCATTACTGCTTTCTGGACGTTTATTTTGGGTATAATCAAATAGTTATTGCTCCAGAAGACCAAGAGAAAACAACCTTTACATGTCCCTATGGAACTTTATGCGTTTAGAAGGATGCCTTTTGGATTATGCAATGCACCCGCAACCTTTCAACGGTGCATGATGGCCATATTCTTTGACATGGTGAAAAAATACATCGAGGTATTCATGGATGATTTTTCTGTGTTTGGAGATTCATTTGATGACTGCTTGGATCGGTTGACTCTTGTACTGAAAAGATGTGAAGAAAAGAACTTAGTGCTAAATTGGGAAAAATGTCATTTCATGGTAAAAGAGGGGATAGTGCTGGGCCACAGGATTTCCTCAAAGGGAATTGAAGTTGACAAAGCCAAAATACAAGTGATTGAAAAATTGCAGCCTCCTAATTCAGTTAAGGGGGTCAGGAGCTTCTTAGGACATGCAGGGTTTTATAGAAGGTTCATTCAAGATTTCTCAAAAATTACAAAACCTTTGTGTAATCTATTGGAGAAGGATGTGTCATTTCACTTTTCTGATGAGTGCTTAAATGCCTTTAACACTTTGAAAGAAAAGTTAACTTCGACACTTGTAATAGTAGCACCTGATTGGGATCTACCTTTCGAAGTTATGTGTGATGCTAGTGATTTTGCCTGATTCGATGGGTTCTGTTACTGCAAGAGTTTGACATTGAAATTCGCGATAAAAAGGGTACAGAAAATCAGGTAGCAGATCATTTATCAAGGCTAGAGCAACTCCGTGATTCAAATGATGTGGATATTAATGAGGTCTTCCCAGATGAGCAGTTATTGCAGATAGAAAAGGCTCCATGGTATGCAGACATTGTTAATTACTTAGCTAGTGGCTATATGGATCCTGATCTCACCTATCACCAGAAAAAGAAGTTGATTCATGAAGCGAAATTTTATTATTGGGATGATCCAAATTTGTACAGAAGAGGGGCAGACCAGATCATTAGGAGATGTGTGCCAGAGGATGAGATGAAACCTATCCTTTCACGGGTTCATGCATCGGCTTATGGAGAACACTTTGGCCCCACTAAGACAGCAGCAAAGGTGCTTCAATGTGGTTTCTTTTGGCCTACATTATTCAAGGATTGCCACAGTTTCTGCAGATCATGTGATAAATGTCAAAGAACAGGTAACATATCAGCACGTCACGAGATGCCACTTAACAACATTTTGGAGGTGAAAATATTTGATGTCTGGGGGATTGATTTTATGGGTCCCTTTCCATCATCTTACAACAATCGGTACATCCTAGTGGCAGTGGATTATGTCTCTAAATGGGTAGAAGCTAAAGCATTGCCTACAAATGACGCGAGAGCAGTGGTGGACTTCATAAAGAAACACATCTTTAACCGCTATGGATCACCTAGGGCCATAATAAGTAATGGTGGAACTCATTTTCGCAATCGGTTATTCCAAGCAGTGCTGCATAAGTACGGGGTACAACATCGAATTGCCACTCCTTACCACCCTCAGACAAGTGGATAGGTAGAAACCTCGAACAAACAGTTGAAAAGAATTCTAGAGCTCACTGTGAATGCATCTCGCAAGGATTGGTCCAAGAAATTAGATGATGCTTTATGGGCAT